AACTGAAAAGAAATTATATTAGTTAGTTTAAAGTTATTATTTGATAAAATTTTGCCACCAAAAACTGTACAAACCCTTGTGCACATACAGTATGTTGATGTTGGACACAAATGGAGTTTCTGAAGAATGCTCCTAAACTACAAACTAAACTGCAATAAAAAACAACGGGCATCTTTTATCTGTTAGGATGCAGCTTTACATTGGAAAGCACAGCCTTGTTTTAACTCTAAAAAAGTTATTATTGGCATCAGTAGCTCTTGCTATATTTGTAAGTGTTGTATTAGGAGAGAATGGAAAAATATGATAAATAAAGATTATTGCAAAACTCTACATACTACATTGTTTCTGATTAATTCTGATTTACAAAGGCACTAGTCTTGATGGGGGCTCAAAACATCAGGTATAAACCATATGGGTTTTCCATAATTTATGGAAAATGCAAAAGTAGACATTAATTTTCATCAGTGAAGTATATTAGCTATGAGAGCTGCTCTGTCCTCTTTTTGTAGCCTTTGGGGCAAAAGAGTAATGCAACGAACACTGAATTACACAAAAGTGAATGCATGTCTACATTGAGGTTATATTGATAAAGTAATTGACTTAACTTCTCTCTCTTGTTTCCTGGTTAACCAATGAAAATTTTCCCTGTAGACATGCATGTCATTCTCGTGGTGTTTTGAACGTGAATTCAGCCTGATTTGTTTTTCATGTCTTCTCCTCCATCATCAGTTATCAGGAGAGCAGACAGTCAAAGTACAAGAATTCAAACAAACACAGAGATTCTACTTACAGAGCAGACACAGCACAGATGTTTCCTTCATCGTCCTTCTCACTCATTTGAGCTTTTTTTCATTTCTCTCACTGACACCAAGTAAAGCCCGCCCTCTTCCTCTGAGTCTGTGTGTCTCAGTGGTTTTCATCATTTCATGGTAAAAGTGTTTAAACTACATAAAATATACTGAATATATACTAATATAATAAATAAATAAATAAATAATAATAAATAAATAATAAATAAATAATATACTCAGGTCAAAAAATGTTTTGATGCTTGTTTTAATGTTAGTTAATCCAAGGTGGTCACATCACATTTAAATTCTTCTGACATTTAGTTGTTTTAATGCCACTTTTTAGCAATAAACATTAATACATTTAAGCAACAACATTTTTTGTTGTTGAATTTATTTAATATTACTTTCTATGCCAGAATCTTTTTCTACGTAGCTGACAGCTGGTAACTGTGCAGGGGCGGATCTAGCAAAGTTTAGCCAGGGGGGCCGATAGGGCATGGACAGGGAAAAGGGGGCACAAAGACATACTTTTCTTTCTTATTCTCATTTAAAATGTCTAGCTTTTAATAAATAATAATCTGAATGTTACACCTAAAGTTTTAATCTCACGTAAAATGTATAGAAGTCCATTACTGTATATAATAACTGTTAAGTCTAATATACCCTAGTAAGCTGTAGTACTTTTTCCTTTGGGAAGATACCATCTGTGCAGTCTGCAATTCTGTTGAAGAAAGATGTTGAATCCATTTAATTATTCTTGAAAAATAATTTATTTCAGTGCATTTTTTTTCACAATGCATCAGAATAAAGTTGATTACGTCGATTAAGCATCATGAGCTGGAGGGTGGGGGGTGGTTCCTTATTTATTTATTTTTTGCTGGGAGTTTGCAACCCTATTAGTTAGGTTGCTAAATATTTCTGCTAAGTACTCTTTAAAATACCAGAATAGGGAGGATGGAGCAGGTTTAAGTTTATTAGATTGATCAGTGTTGCTGAACTATGAAATATTTTGGGTGCAGTGTATTTTTTACATACAGGTATAACAGAATAGCTTTAGTGTTGTTGTTTATTTAAACTTGAGTATGAACTTATACAAAATGCAACAAGATATTAAAAAAACAGTTTTATTGATTAAAAAACATTATATCGGATTCATATCGGTATCGGCAGATATCCAAATTTATGATATCGGTATCGGTATCGGACATAAAAAAAAGTGGTATCGTGCCATCTCTACTATATACCATATTTTTCAGGACCATTAGGCGCACCGGACTATAAAGCGCATTAAGAGAAACAAAACAGTCAAATAAGTCGAACTTTACTCAACTCAATCTTCTTGCTTCCTCCACATCTGTACCATCTGTACATCCAGGCATCATGGATGCCTGGATGTTAAACTTAATTGTTACACTTGGTAAAGCGGCAACACTGATGATTTTAATAAAGATAAAAGACTTTAGACCCTTTTTAACTCTCAGTGATGCCGTTTGACTTTGGGACCTGAAACGGACGGAGTTTTGGACCCAGATTACTCTGCAAAGCTCCTGAAAATGGTAGCCGTAATGCTCCGACAATCCATCAAGCAGTGTGGCTTCGTAGCTTACCAAAGTCGTGCTAAAAAATTTTTAGACAGATTTGAAGCATCATGTATCACATAAAATCAGTTCGAGGCCAGTAAGCACAACCAGAATTCATACATAAGGTGCACTGTTGATTTTTGAAGAAATTAAAGGATTTTAAGTGCGCCTTATAGTGGGGAAAATGCGATATACATTTTCCTGACATTTTAATTAAATTTCAACAAAAGAGGTTGATTCAGAAGCTACCACCGCCTCTGATTCATTATGCTTTCTTGTTAAAACAGAGGATTGAATAGAGGTGGAGCAGGATGTGGTACAACCCCTGACATATAATCGCACTCTAACAACCAGTGATGGAATTTAACTGTTTTAATATGATTTTGTTAATATTGCCGCTTTCTGCCTTGTTTCTTTCTAATCCACTGTGTTATAGATGCAAATATCTTCCTTTGTACGGCCTTTAAGCTTTAAGCAGTCATGTTGCAAAATTAAAGTATAGCTTAATCTTTCAAACTAAGTAGATTGGAAAAAACTCTACCAACAACCTACATCACATTGTATTCTCAAGCCATCATATAATGAATACGCAGAAGCGAAACATGTTAAATACATATATCCATATCCATATATAAGGTGTGAAAAAGAGGTCTTAAATATCTTAATATCTCTCCATGTCACCGCAACACCATTACTGAATAATGTGATATTATTCCAAAGACATGCAGTTTGTGGGGATAGGTTAATTGATTCATCCAAATTGCCCATATGTGTGAATGTGGGAGTGAATGTGAGTGCAAATGGTTATCTGTCCCTGTGTGTTAGCCCTGTGACAGACTGGCAACCTGTACAGCGCTGAAAAGGATAAGCGGAAGCGAATGGATGGATGGATGTTTGTGCTACTTTGTTTGTTATCTTCGTGTTTTCTTTACTTTAATATGTTGATATCATTGGTTTGTGTAATTGCACATTTTGTCACCAGAGGGCAGTGCTTAAAAGTTTACTTTTTAGATAAAATGTACCGTCTGGCTTCCTGTGTTTTTCGATGTTTGGATGTGAAAGCTGATTGTAACGAAGAGGTGTATAGGGCAGGTGTTGGCAACCTTTAGCACCCGAAGAGCCATTTGGTTTTGGAACCACTCCGGTTTCCACGGAAAACACTGGGAGCCGCACATGCTTTTTGACATCTAGCACTGTATATACCCCCGCCCCCCTCTCCCGTACGCTTTGTATAAACAAATACAAATAGTGTGTTGCTTATGAAATCCATGAAGCGCTACAGACAAAATTACATTCTATTACATTCTATCTATGTAATGATTTGAACATTTTGAACTCTTAAAAAAATATAACAAAAAAAAACAAAACCCGCCGTGATGAAGGTCTCCTTCAAATGAATAAAAAAGCTGAACTTAAATTATCCTCGTAGCGAACATAAAATCTCGTGAGCTGTCATCCTTATATCGCCTATCTATAGGGTTTCAGAGCGTGTAGCGGAGCCTTAACCTAAATTATTATTATTATTATTATTATTATTATTATTATTATTATTATTATTATTATAAAAGGAGCACTATGACACTTATCAATGAAAAACAAATATCTGCGTAAAAATGTATTATACCTGGTTAATGTGTGTGGCGGGGCGTGGCCTGCCGTGCCGCTGCAGTGGAGGCGGACCCAGCTGAGTGGCATCCCTAATCACGCGGCTTAAAGTCCGTGCTCTCTCTTCTCTTCTGTTGTGTTGGTGTCGAGCTGTGAGCTGGAAAGCAATAGCCGGCTGTATGTGTGTACGGCAACCGTGTGTGAAAAGTGGTCAATTAAGAGATATTGAAAAGCATGTTTATGCGAACATCGTCAGGTCTGCCGTGGTACGTTTATAGTGGGACTTCTGCTCCTGAACCTCACAGTGTCTGGTAATCGGTGCTGTACAAAGTCACTTTCATCTTTTTGCAAGCTGCTCTCTCATCAGAAGTATATGTAAATGAATATTCCCAGGCATCATTAAATGTTCTATTTTCGTCAGATATTTTTCTTTTCTTACATTTCTCCATTATTGGCCTACCTGTGGTTGGAAGTCTCGATAAGTACACGGCGTTTTGGCAGGTATACCGGCTTCCGCGAGTGTGACGCTTATTTTGAGCGACGAAAAACATTAAAATATACGTTTATTTTAATATTTCAATATTTCACGGAGCCGCGGCATCCGGAGCCACAGGTTCCCCACCCCTGGTGTAGGGGATAAATTGTGTAATACCTCTGCTGAGATATTACTATGGAATCCAGAGGGTACTGCCTTATTTAAGTCTCTTTTTATTCTGTTGATTTCCCACATTTCATTTTTTGCTGCTTAAGTCCAAATTCCAGTTGTTGGACACAAGTGGAAGAAAGAATACCTTTTTTATTACTCTGTCATTACTGACAATAAAAGACAGCATATGCTCTACCGGCTAAAGTTTAGACTTCTCACGGAATGTTTTTTCTTTATTTTCACGACTATTTACATTGCAGATTGCGTTAATCTAATCTATATTGCACATTTCATAAGTGACGGTCTGACTACACCTCATGAAAAACAACGTCAACACCCACTGTTCAGTTTCGAGTAGGGCGGTTTCGTCAGAAAGAAGCACTGTTCGTGGGTTGAACCGTGTGGTCTTAGCTTTTAAAAGGATTTGAAGGCAGAGACACCCACACTGTAAGCGAAACAAAAAGTCTGTTCAGCTTTTCGGGCTGAAGCTGTTTCAGCAACACCGTGTGTGTATTTTGCTCCAGCCTCGTGTGAAATCAGCAAAACTCAACTCAGAACGCAAATGGCCGGTTTAATATCGTTGTCACTTTGGTGGATTTGGCTGTCTCTCTCGGTTTTATGTTTAAATGCTTCTAAAGGTAGGTTGGGTGTGTATTCGCAGTATGTTCACAGCATCCGGAATCCTAGTTGTAAATAGCCTTTTATCTTTAACTTTTTCTTCATGATATTGTGTTCGTGTTCGACATTTTTGATTTTTAGAATGTAAAAATCTGTTTCTATCGAGATTCATGTACAGTCTATCTCCAACACAAAGTTTGCATAAAGTGTACAGGTCTGAATATTTTATGAGCAGGTTGTGTACACGATGTAAAATACGATATATTCAGAAATATTTACAAATTGAAAACAAAAAAAATCACTTAACTGTAAACATACTTTATTAACATAAAGAAAATTGATATTTTGAAAATATGTTTTATCATTCTTATTCTCTTCTGGGTTTCATATGATGCTGGATGTTAAAGGTTCACCAAGAATCACCCTAAAGCCATGCTAAAACACAAGCAGCAATGACAGATATAGGAAGTAAGAAGATTGTGTCCTGGCTCTATAATCTAGGTTTAGATTACGAAACAGGACCTAAGACAGTATTATGTCAATTCTGTTTGTGTGTGTGTTCCAAAGTAACATCTGACTTTCATCCAGTTACGTTTTTCAGGCGGCTACGGCAATAATGTCTTTTTCTGTACTAAACTGAGTAATTGCATTACAGTTGTTTCATTACCTGCTTTACAAAGGTTCTTCTGCAGTTAACAATTACATGAAGAGCAGATAGAAAAAAAGAAACATACATGCTTATTTTCTTTATGGTGTGAAGACTGTAGCCTTATATTGTTAACTCATAATTATGAAACAATACTTTTCAGATCATTTTATGTTAAAGTAATGTAATGAGTAGTATAATAAATTACTTTCTCTGGTGAATAATTAAATAAAGTTAATGCAGTATGTATGAGAAAAGTAGTGTGTAATGCATTACATTTTTTAAAAAATTGTGACCACAACACTGATTATTTCAATACATCTGGCAGAGATATTCAATAAGCACACATCACAGTTCTTTATTTCCTCTCATTGGCTGCTGTAGAAGTGAACAATTGTACCTTGACCTTTAACCTCTCTGCTCTGTGTTGTTTCCTCTTTCAGACCCGAAACCTATCACAGCTGAGTCTGGACAGGATGTCACTTTCCCATGTCGAGCTCCAAGGAAGGACGACGCTATCATAGTTGTAGAGTGGAATAGAGCTGACCTTGGGACAGAATATGTCTCTTTGTACCGCGACAGGAAATTTGTTCCAGACAACCAGCATCCATCTTTTAAGAACCGGGTGGATCTGCAGGACAGACAGATGAAGGATGGAGACGTGTCTTTGATTCTGAAGGCTGTGACAACTAATGATGCTGGAACATACGAGTGTCGAGTTTTCCAAAGAGGAACACACCGCAGGAAGAGAGCTAATCTGAAGAATGACCCCATCAGCACCATCACACTGAGAGTTGTTGTTCCTCCAGGTGAGTGAGTAGAGTTGAGTGTGTGTGTGATCAGAGGTGAAGCTGCTTCCTGGTTGTTGATGTTTGTTTCTAAAGATGTTGTTGATGAGACTTTGTAGAAAGCAGCTGGTCTGAGTGATGTGATCAGAGTGCAGTAGATAATGTCTGACAGCAGTTTGAAGAGGAAATGGATTCTGTTC